CTCCTTATCGAGAAACTTGGGCCGATTTAGTTATTTGCACAATGTTTTTCGGTTGTTTTGTCCAAACCCATGACCCGAATATAAAAACTTTAACATACGCGTGTAGTCAAATAGACCAGTTATGTATACTTAGCGTTGCATGAGAGTTGTCACATAAGAATCTGTTAAATGGGCTTTGCGTGTATGCGGTTACCCAACGCATAGCACTTCGCATGCAGAATTCTGTTTGGATTTGATTTATACGTATAAATGGTATAGCAGTGCAAGTATGCATAACTGGGCTAAAAGTAGGGCTGCCAGATATCTCCGTTGGCAAACCGGGACACTTTGGAAAATCTAACACCACAACCGCCCCTCCCTTTCCTTTCCTTTAGACAAAAATTACTTACGTACGAAAGTATGTAGTAAAATTTTATTTTGGCAAGACAAAAACAAAACCATAAAATGATGAGATCATTTCAACGTACTAAAGTTCAAAATAAAAATATAGTGCCGCCCAAAATTATTGGCACAATGCATTCAACTTTTTTTTGCTTTAATTTTTTATAAATACTTATACCGTTTATACTACATCAAAAAAACAAAAACAGAATTTCTAGACTTTGTGCGAAACTCGGTAAAATTCAATAAATTTGCATACAAATTTGCAACTTTCTAATCAGACTTTTTATACAAATTTTGAAAAGAAGTTTTGTGGCCCAACAACTTTAGTACATTTTTGATAATTTTTTGCTGACAGCTTCTTCCATATAAACTATGTTCGACAATTCTTTTTGTATGAAAGAAACTGCGACATTTTCAATATTTTTCTAAAAGATCTGATGAAAAATTCTCTAAGCCAATAATTTTGTACGAAAATTGTGAAAAAAATTTAAGTACAAGATAACATTAAAAAATCAGTCATATTTTTCGTTGTTGTGAACTTGTTTCAAAACTTCTGACTTTTCCTTAATATAATTTTAAAACTTTGGGCACGTCTTTTAACGCACATATTTATGTACCTATATTAAGAAAATTTCTTTCTCAAGTCTATTGAGATGAAATAAGAAAAAAACATTGCTCCACATTAGGTGTATTAAACAAGGTGTGATTGACAACTCAGTGAGGCTCTCTTTTAAGGTACTATAACTTCAAAAAATATAAACAAATTACGCACTTTTCTGTGTAAGCGGAAAGGAATTTATACGTTCCCTTTGGCATTTTCTAAGGGTAATCAAAACACTATAAACACACATTTTTATATTCTATAAACTTTGTCGCGAAAACTTACATTGGAATTAAAGCCCACCCGAAAAACAAACGAGCAAAACACATAAAAAACAGCTGATGCTAATTAGGAAGGGCACTTTGCACTTAAAGGTATGTATGTGGGTATATCGATCATCAAATATTGCTTGTGCAAAGTCCAACTATCTGGAGATGTAACTATATCACAAATGACACCGGTGGTGATTTTTGAACTTTTATTAAATTTGTGCATATAAATCGAAAACCGGGACACTTAAACGAAACCCGGGACATTTTAAGGTTGGACCGGGACACCGGGACAAATGGTCTAAAACCGGGATATGTCCGGGAAAACCGGGACGTCTGGCAGCCCTAGCTAAAAGGATTGAAATTTAAACTAAAATAAAGGTTGCAAATTTCCGAGCACTAGTTTATTAATAAATTCGGTTAGTACTATGTACTTTTTTGTAAATTTCACTGTGGGTTCTGCGCAAAAATACTGTGGATGGCGTAGCCGGAGTTATATGCACATATATGTATACCTTTTCGGAATTGCGGAAGCCCCTCTTCTCCGGCATCACGGAGAATTTTTCTTAATAAGGGTTATAATCATCGGCGTAGCCAGAATGAAATTTAGGGGGCTCTCGACCCTATTAAGCTGGCATTTCAGGGTACTATTTTATATATATATAAGGAAAATTTGAAAGTTAGGGGGGGGG